CCATTGCACTAATTTCTTTTTAAATGTATTTCAAAGGTTCGCTGTAGTGCTGCTGGGAGCTGGGAGCTCCTATCACACCATCAGCTTTAGGAATGCAAAGCATTATTTTACAACATGTAGCAGCATGAGGCACACCAGTCACTGCAAGCTCCAGTAACACTGCAGGAAGACGGCATCTGCTTCATGAATACACTGCTTAAAAAGTTACATTCCTAGCAGCTAAATACAAAACACATGCAAACTCAGCTAACATGAGTGACTAACTTCAGCTTCTGGTGCTGAACAGATATTATCAAGACACATATTAGCAGCTATATTCGGTGATAGTAACTGGGTGTGGATGGTGTTGTGCTGCCGATGCACTGTCATTATCCTTACTGTAAATGCAGGAAGTAGCTCGACTTCCTTCCATTTAGCATTAGCTTCACATTTCACATTAATTCAAACGCACGCCATGTTAAACATCAAACTCAGCCGTGTGTACGTGTCATTGTTAATCACACAGTAGTAAAAATTAGCTAACCTACACCACGTATTCGAGCACAGGAACAACATGCAAGCTACAACTCTGAGCTGTCAAATACAACACTGCCTGGGTTAAGCTAGCTCCACCAGCAGACACCCAACACGGCCCGTTTGGCAACTCATGCGACATACTGAGTGTTTTATAAAGCACGGTTGTTATTCGAGACGAAGGTTAAAGGTAACAGAATAATGACAGTATGAATTTATAAAGTATTACCTTCTCCTCATCGCTCAGCTCCTCGAAATCTGCCATCTTGGCTCAATGAAGTGTTAACAAAGCGGCGGTCGCAGAGTTGCCAGGTATGTGTGTGACTCCTCCCAAAACAACCGCAGGGCCGACCAGGAAAACTGTCCTGCGGTGGAGGAGCTCACTGTCTTATGTTTTCCTGAATACCAGACGTACATTTAATGAAATAGAAACGATTCAGAAAAATAAATGTCTGAATTCCGAGCGACGAAATTAGTAGTCTCAACATTATCACCGTATTTATAAGTAATTAAGTCCGGGATATTTTTTAAAAGACATGTGTTAAATATTAACACAAAATATATTTTTAAATAAAACAATAATGTATAAATATTCACACAATTCCTATTACTTTTACATACAAGCTGAAGTAGATGTCCAAACCTGGCAACCCTGACGCGTTCGAGTCTTTTGGGAGGGCTTGTACAGACCGTACAGACGTTAAGGATGTTTATGTTTACAGCTTGAAAAGTTTACATGGTTGGACATTTCAAGACAGTTGTAGATAAACATTGCAATTGGTCGTGTGATGTTAAAAATTACTGCGCATTAATAATATAAAGCAATTACATTTGGGTTTAATTGCCCGGAAAAGGATTTCCATCTGTCCGGAGATCGAAAGAATTTGGTTTTGTTTGGTATGTGTTTATATACTGATGTGAACTTTTAGAAATATGCGATTCTCGTGGTCTTAATTCCGACCTGGACGTTGACATGAACGCTATTTACACAATAAAACTCCTAATTACGACAACTCCGCATTCACTTGAACGCAGCATCAGCCCACCGTATGGAGCTATGGAGAAGTTACACCTCACGTGATGCTTTCATTTGAAGCATAGTGGCAGTATGAAGGTGTGTTTGGCTTTTTAATTCGCATTTAATAATATAATTTTAATGAATTAACACAGTCATATTACAGGTCTGAATTAAGAGAAAGAAACAAGACAAGAAAAGAAAGAAAGACCAAGGGTATAGAAGTAAATAATGAATATAAATCACAATAACGCTTAGACATCCCTTAAATGTTATAGTTTACATTGAAATCTTAGATCATTGCATGAGTGACAGGTGCCTGATAGTTCAGTGGGCTCACTCATCTTCAAATTAGGGTCATTCACTGTAGATCACTGGGCAACACACATACATTTATAAGGCTCATTCTAGCTTTTATCTTGGCACTGAGTTTATTTGGGAACTTAGTCTGTTATTATTATTTAGATGGTAGGAAAACCTGCCAAGGATCCTTGCAAATATTGTGTTTCCAAATTGAATTGACCCCATACATATACTTCAATTGTATTTATTAAAATCTTTGCAAAATGAAGACATGATAAACACAAATTACAGAAAGGGAAACAACATTTTATTGAGAACTACTGAGAAAGTCTTCAATGCCAATCAGATAGTAAGACCACGGACAAGGCAAGACAGCTGCTGTCCACATGTGGAGCTAAAGGACACGTCACACAGAACCAACAGTGCCAAGACGCCTGAAGAAAAAGAACAAACAACCTGAGCAGGATGCTGCTGCAGAGAAACAGGCACACACTGTACAGACAGCTTGTTTACAACCCAACACTGGCATAAATGCTCCCTGTGTGGTGACACAGCAGTTACTAGTGTCATTAATGTGAGGCACAAGTGGCCCCATAGTCAGTACAAGCTTGACATGTAATTCTGTGTTGGTTGAGGGAGACACAAGCTTAAATAATTTTCTCAACAACTTCATATGGACAAACAGATAAACGAGGAAGAAGCTTATTATTCTTATTACTATTATTATTCTTATTATGCCTTAAAATAAATTATTTCTCCATTGTGTCCAGTAAATGCCTGCCTGTCTTAATACTGTACGACATATTATGTTATATCCTACACTAAGTTATACTATATGCAATGTTATATTGCTGCTCACTATTTATTATAGTTGTTGTGCTATACTATATATCATTTTACAGTAAATCACTGTCCTTCACCTTGTAGTATGTCTAATATTCTCTACTATATCTTAATGTACCATATTATGTTATTATACTATATTATCTTAATATACTACATATGCTTCATTACTTCCTGTCTATGTACTGCTGCAACAACCAAATTGCCCCACTGAGGATCAATAAAGGTGTATCTATCATATTTTCTGTGTGGATGTATAAATGTGTGTATCAGTTACTACTAATGTTTGCATAAATTCTGAAAAGCATAAATGCATAATACTTGTAGCAAAAACTACATCATGGATTATTATTATTTTTTGTATTTATTTTTTTTGACAAGCCACGATACTTCAGAAATTTGTGGACAAATTAATTATAGTTCCACACAAAGCAGTAGATTTTACAAGTCAGTAGGGGGCGATGTCGTTCAATAGTAGCCGTGACCGTAGAAGAAGAAGACTGCCGTAAATCAGATCCCTTTGCCGTAAATGAAGTAGAAGAAGACAAGCGGCTTTGTGGAAAGCAAGCGTAATCGCCAGGACCTTTTCGTGGCCTTGAGAGTTTGTACACGGAGATAAAATTCACTTTGAAGGTGAGTGAATAGTTGCTTTACTGCCTTTAATAAAACGGCATGTGCAGTGAAAATATATACCGTAAGGCAGCTGCTCATTTAACTGTTAACTGCGAAGCTAGCCGTGTGCTAGCTAAGCTAACGAGAAGTAACGTTAGCTATCGTTTGCTAACCTCGCTACGAGCACATCGCAACCGCATAGTATGTTAACTATTGGTACATAGATATATGGCGGTGTGAAAGTGCAGCGATATAAATACGATTTTTAACACCAGAAACAATCTAGCTAGCAACAATATGTTCCCACGAGTCGTTACTGTAGCGTGCGGCGCGGCCATTTGCAGCGCGACCGGTGTCCCGGCCTGCCCGCCGAGTACAACAGGCACCTCGCGGGGACGCGCACCGCTAAAGCGAACAATCAAACACTGTTTAAAACTATACCCAAGTACTGATTATTAAATGAGCGTACGAATTAAATTCGTGACAACCGTATTTAGTAAGAATGTTCTTACTAGTCCTATATTACTATATGCTTGCGGATAGTTTCTGTTCTACTGGAAGTCTGTCACATATTGCATAAATACAGAGGGTCCGTAATCCAGGGAACATTATATCCTGAGAGTACAAAGTCACAACAGTCAGCTGTTGGATGGATGGATAGATAACTGATAGCTAGGTAGCCATTTTGGAATACATTTAAACCATTGTGCGTTCCCTATAAATAATATATGGGAACACAGTTAATGTGTACAAAAATATTTGTTCATGTTTCATGCCTAAATTTAACAGCGTTTTTATTATGAAAACCCATTTGTGATTTTCCAAAACTTGCTGATTATATACACGTCTTAAAATGAACTTGGCTTTCATTATTACCTTCAGAGACCATTATCAGTGTAGTGTCAAGCTACTACAGACAGAGCAGTGATTTCCAACCCCTTTTCTATCATTGAGTAAACTGGTGATCATTGACTAAGAGACATTTTGTATATATATCATATTATTTTCAGTGCATAACAGTAACAGTACAGAACAACTGATACATTGTACAATTAACCCAAATAGTGAATCCAAAACTTGCAAAAGCAGTTTGAATTTTGAGCTGATTTCTTTTCTTTGAATATTATGTTGGAGATGAGTTTCCTGATTTTTAGAAACGTTTTTTTTTGGCGAAACTCTGTAGTATGCATGCATGTTTTTAAAAAAAATCATACATATACCAAAGGCTGTGTTCCTAGAAATGTGTTTTCTTCTCCTGACTTTCAGCTATTGTGCAATTAGCTTTTTCGTTGTTTAAGGTGTGTACTTTTCTAATGCAGGATGAGGCTATTTACCAGATTAAAGGCTCCATGAATACAGCTTGTGTTTAGGTCTTCACTGTGCCCATATCCTGTAAGATTGTTTAAAGTTTGTATCTTGAATAATAATCTTTAAAAATGAAAGATGTAGTAGGCCTACTGTATGTATATATTTTATGTTTTCTTACACCTTAAAATCAAGAAAGCCTCTTGACCCCAGTGAAGCTTTGGCATCCCCAAGTCGGAGTTGGGACCCCCAGTTTGGGAACCAGTGTGTAGTGCATTTGAAGTGTTGTATTTATAAAAACGTGTTAAGTTATTGATTTTTTTTCTCTCCTTTTCAGACACTTGAGGTTTTTGAATTAAGTGGCTGTAGACTCCAGTGCATCCAGGTTTAAGTTAAGGTAGGTAAAAGGTTGCTCCTCTAAAAAAGTATTTTGTTTTATTCCCAGCCATGCGTGTAATTTAACACAAATACCTTCACTTTCTAATTTCAGTTTGTAATGTATGTGTGTTGGGACTGAAAACATGCAGAGATTGTCTCTTGCTGAAATCATATTAAATTGTGCCACGTTGGCCACTTAAAGACATCAACTTATCCTCGAGACTTAAGTTTCTTTGAACAAAAGTAGACATTTGTATTTTGGTATTTTCAAGGTGATCATAAGCCTGTGGTTTAATTTCATCAGTCCGATTTTCCTCAAGATATTTTTACCATTTCACGAGAAGAGGATGATTTGAATAAATGCTGCTTTTGATTTGTTGGAAACTCTGTTCGAGATTTGTCCGCACTGCTTTTTAGTGAAATCATGACGACCTAACTGTGGGGAAATTTTCCTCAACAAAAATGAACTGAAACGCTGTGAGCTGCATTTGTTTTACAGAGAGACAAAGTTGGGATGGGCGATGCGACTCTAAACTTATGTCATGGAACATTTTGAACGTCTGATTCTGGGATCGTGACAATTTACCGCCAAGAGTCCATTTTTATGTTGTGAGGCGGAGCTTCATCATGCTGGAGAGTTGACGTTCGCTCGGTATTTGACAGCTGGCGCCACTACAGGATTACGTTGCGATTTTGATTTGCTTGAAATGTTCACGGCTTCACATTGCATACCGTGAAATGTGTTTTTCACAACCAACTTAAAGCCATTCTTCAACGGTTTTGACAGGCAGCTTGTCTTCAAATGGCTTATTTTAGCATAAAATGACATGGCGGCACAGAGTCATGGCACATTTGATGTAATTTCATGGTAGCCAGTTTATATCATTGTGCAGTCTCTAACGGCTTGCCATTAATACAGGATACACCCGTCAGACAAAGTTCTTATAAAGAAAATCACTTCAGGCTTGTGTTGACTTCATTTTCTTTTCCAACACATTGCCTCACATCTCTTGCTTTATAAAGCCAGATGGCATCTTTCATTCTCCGTTCTCACTACAAAATATTAGTGTGGGAGTCCAGAGCAGCCACTCTGGTGGGGGGAGAAAAGTGTGCTTTAAGTTCAGCAAGTGTACATTTGATCAGATACAGAAACGGTTTATCTACGTTCCTTCATGAAATGATGTTTGTGTCAAGCAAAAGACGTTGCCAAACCACAGTGGGTGAAGTGAAATTGCAGGCTAGTTAGGTAAGGCTTTCACATCCCTGCTGGAGGGATAATTGGGATGGAAGTCCAATGGATCACCGAATTTGCGTGACAGATTTACATTTGCATTCAATAACGTACATTAATTATACACCGATGTCCCACTGCTGGCTTTGTGCAATAACTCAAAGCTAGCTCACTCAAATGCAAACCTCCAGTGCCGCGTTGATCTAATATCCTGCTGTGCAAGTGAGTGCCAGAAAAATGCAGGATGCATTCAGATTTTTTTAACACAAGGTTTCCGACGAATTCGCACTTTAACCAGCACGATTTGTTCCAAATTTGAATATTTGCTGCATTTAAAAATGAATTTTCCACAGCATTTCCATTGTCTGAACTTTGATGTGATTTTGATCTGCAACTTTTGCTCTGCTAAAACTTTTCATCTTTTCCAAGGAATTTGATCTCTTAACTCACTGACATGTTTCAGGATTGTGGACGACAATTTAAAGGCGGTCATTAGCGATCGAACCGAATATTTTCAAGCATTTGAGACCCAAGAAGAAAGAAACCAGTAAAGCCTTTGGATCAAGTCATGTCTCGCAGAAGAAGCCGCAGCCCATCACCGGGGCGTTTTTCACGCTCCTGCAGCAGTAGCGATCCGAGAGATTTGGAGAGGCGCATTTTTGTTGGGAATTTGCCAACCTCCGACATGGAAAAGAAGGATTTGGAAGACATGTTCAGCCCATATGGGAAGATACTTGGTCAGTAAAACACACTAAGTTAAATTCATGGCAATAATTTGAAATGTCCAGTAGCGTTAAGCATCATGAGTCGTGTTTATTCATGAATTGCAAGTATGTAAAATTCGTAATGGTGTCCCTACTGATCATTTTTTAAAGTGGGTAGACCGGTATTCAAAATGTTCCTCAAAATGATCCTAAGTCTGTGCCACTTAAAATGTTCCTCTTCCAGGCGTGTCCATGTTTCGTGGGTTTGGATTTGTACAATTTGAACGTGTTGAGGAAGCCGAAGCTGCAAAGGCGGCCCAAAAGGGTCGAATATATAAAGGTTATAAAATAGGTAAGCCCCAACTGCAGTGGGTATGATTGTTTGGCTAGAAAGGAACGTTTTTATTAGTGTACAATGAACAACAAAACCCAAGTTAATCAGAGTATAGTTAAGTTTTTGAGTGGAAACCTTTGATGACTGGGCATGAAGATTTAACTGTTAATCCTGAAGATAATCTGCTTTTGTGGATTTGGTGATTAACAAGCGCAAATTTATACTAGCTGCGGCCACGCAGGCGCAAGCATCAACCCATTGCAGCACCCCCTTGTAGTCAATTGGCATGAAGACAAAGGCACATACACACACAATTGACCTCCATGCCAAATTTCAGCTTCCAAAGGGGAAAAGTGTGGTTGCCAAAGGGTGGGTAAATTTTTGTGGACTCACCGACTGACCAACCAGTCAATCGACAGAGCGAGCTATAGACCTGCTGGTCGCAGCTAATAAAAATGCCGGCAAAGACAAAGAAGCAAATAAGCAATCTTAAGGATTAACATTTTCTGTGATAAAGGTTTTGTATGAAAGCTGAGATATCCTCCATTTTATTTAGTGAGGAAGAAAAAGCCTAAAGTGATCTGTTCCTTTAAACTCAGTTTTAATGATGCGAAATGCTGCATCCAGTAAATGAAATGCCCATAACAGCTGATAAAAGTGGAGCCCAATACTTGTCCACATCTAACCTCTCAAAGTGTAGGATGTATGATTCGACCTACAACTATGAAAATGAAGGTTTAGTTCTTCTGATTTTTCTACTTCAGCTTTCCTTTTTTGTAGATTTGTTACATCATTGACATACAAAACAAATAAACAAGTGCATTATTAAATTCTGGCAAAGCCTGAATCTCTGAAATCTCTTGTTTTATTTTCAACACTGTCGGAATTTTCTTCAGCATTGATTTAAATGTGTCACCAAAGATGAGCAATTGTGGTTTTGGGAGTTTCTGAAAGCCAAATTTCAAGCTTTGCTTGTGTTAAGCCAATTTTTTAAAGGTAGAAAAGGACTCCCTTCATTTCTTTTTCATCCTAAACTCAATTCGATCCGATTTGCTGCATTTTGACTCTCGTCCAGTTTGGATTTTTCAAGCTTGGATATTGGAGCTCAATTTCATTTGGATCGTGGAAGTGTTGACGCGGCCACTCCGTTCTGCGTGAAAGCATAAGCTGATTTACATGTCACTGTTGTGTTCAACGTTTGGATTGATTTATTTTCAGATGTAAATATGGCAGTGGAGCGACGGCAAGCTAAACCTCAATCCCAGCAGAGCCCTCCACGAAGGTAAAGTAACGTGAAATGGGTATGAAGAACTACCATCACATCTGAGGTGCCTGTAAAGCGTATAACTTTATCCTCAACTGACATTTCCACCAGTGGTGAAGTCCTCTTAATGGAATCCGCCGTACCTTTTAGATGCGTTTGTGATGGTTCATGGGACAGTCAATATTTCACCCTAAATTAAAATTTCCAGATGTGTTGAAATAAAGAAAATAGCCATATGAATGTAATTTAAAGTGTCTTTGTCTCAAAGATTCTTGCCTTATGGCTTTTAACCGCTTGTGTTCGTAGTGTAGTTTTCTTCCACATTTCATCTTATCGCTAGAATATGCCACTTTCCAGCTGAGGAAACACAATGCTAGTCCCACCCTGCCACATATCTGTTCAGCAGGTGCTTGGCCTTTAATCGTAAGAAAACTGTGGTCTTAGGAACAGACTGATGCTCGTTCACAACAGATGATTCAATACATGCAATAAAACATGGCACACATTGAGAAGGTTATTTCAGGGAGATTTGGGTGCGGGGTCGGGCTTTCACACACACAGTATCACAGACCAAGGTAAATAATGCTTAATTTAATGACCAGGTTGCATATTGTAAATTTAAACTGTTGTGATGCTCAGTTTTCTCAAGGAAATGTGGTAAAAGGAATCCTTTGGTTTGTTTCATCTTTCCACTTTTAAACATACAACTGTGCCTCACTTGGGAGTTGAACATCATGGACACGAAACACGACAAATTTTGAGGGTTTAAGCAAAGACGCACGTTCTAAGAAAACCACCTGAAACTGCTGAGATGTCCATTGCCTTTGTTTAAATTCTACTAAAGTGAATAGTTGTGGGAGAGCATCTTTAAAACCTAGACACACCAATCTGACATCAATGAACTAGTGGCATCGAAGGCCAGCGTCGCGTTGCCTCACGTCACCTGTGTTTCGGCAAAAAAGTTGCGCTTGAACACGCCGCAAAGACTACAGCCAACAGCAACAAGCACGTTCGTTCTGCGCTTGTGTGCGAGGAAATAACTCCATACCAGTAGGTGGCAGTAGTCTGTATTCGTCGTTCAAAGGGGAAACCAGAAGACTGACGGGATGGATTCAAGATTGTAGTTAGGCAACTAGCACATAAACAACCTGATGTGGAAAGAGGAAATTATATTAACTGTGCCTAGCGAATAATAACAAACAGTTGTGAACTGTTTCTACAAAAGAGCTTGAGGGCTAAAAATTTTAACTTGCGTTTTCTTGACTTTAGGTGTTTATTTGCTTTCACTTGCATTTCACTTCTCGTCCACTGAGCTGAACTGCCATTTGGCGTGACTTTTCTTACCGTCAGACTCTGCTGTCTCAGACATTGATTCAACACACTGAATCAGCCAAAACACACAGCAGACAGGCCGACTGGTGCAAATGGTGCAGGACACTGCAAAACTAAGGCGAGAGACGTTCACCAATGGCTGACCATTGTCTCGGTTTGTCAGGGCCCTTGGTAAATAATGGCAGTATCCAAGTATCCAACTCCAACAGAAGAGTGAGCACCTATTCACCTTTTCTTAACATGAAAGGTTCAAACTGCCACTTGTTTACACCTCGGGCACATTTTTAGGAACTCCTAGTTTACTCTAGTCAAAGTTTTGGACAGCTTGATTTGTTTTCTGTACAATTCAGAATATTTTCCTCCTGAAAATGAATTGAAAATTATCAAAGGCGAGATTAATAACTTTTACTTTTCCATTTTAATTTATTTTCTTGAGAAAATTTCAAGCAAATACCCTTTTAACCTTTTGCCTTTAGCATTTTTCTAACCCTATACTTGCAGTATGGGAATGTGGCTTTCTGAAAAACGAATCGCAAATCTTCACAAGCAAATTGTGCTAATAGTGCAAAAGAAACCACCTCGTTCGAAAAGGTTAAACAGCGAGGGTACTTGTGTATTTTTTTTAGCTGGGGTCAATCTTCAATAAACATCAAATGGTTGACAAATCAATATTGTTGCGTACATGGATCGCTGGACATTTCCAAAAGACCGTTGTTGAGAGGACTCAAAGCGGAATCACCTCCTGGATCGAAATTGAGCTAGCTGCCTTTGCGAACATGAAAGCTGCTTTCCGTGACTCTGCTTCAGTTCTGCGAATAAATGTATTCCATCTCTTCATATTGAATAAATACAGATTCATTTGATTAATTATACAACACCAACTGTAGCCCTGTCCTCATGAGATGTGGACAGAAGTTCCCGTTACCCTTTCTAGTATTTCATAGGCAGCCTAAACTCTTGCTTGTCCTTGCACTAATTGATGACTTCTCTCTCAGGGCCCAGTATGGAAGTTATGGGGACAGCAAAGATCCCCGGCCTCGGTCACGCTCACCCCTCTATGCCCGTGATACTCGGGACAGCCGTGAATCTCGGGAAAGCCGTGATGCACGTGATGGGCGCGAGTCCCGGGACAGCCGTGATGGGAGGGATTCAAGGCCGGGTCGTGACCATGATTACCGGTACCGTAGCTCAGAGAGCAGAGACAAAGACCCCAGAGGCCCAGACCCCAGGGGCCCGGATCCCAGGGGCCCAGATCCCAGAAGCCTGGACCCCAGAGGCCCGGACCCCAGAGGCTCAGACCCCAGAGGGCCAGACCCGCGAGATCCCCCATACAGGTGACTACTGACACTCAGTCCACTGATTAGAAGTCCAGCATTAAGCGGTTGCAATATCTCTGAACCTGAAATGTTTCCATACAGCAGAGAAGACTATGACCGATACTTCCGCAGTAGCAGTGGTGCAGACGAGTATTACCGGAGGAAGGATGAACCCTTCAGAGATGCTTACAGAGACCCCTGGAACGGACGGCGTGAGCCAGAGGGTATGTATACTACACAGCGTACGTGCACAATGCACATTTTATTGTAAGAAGTTTGCACAGCGGCAGTATTCATAGTGTGACAGAGTTGAACCAGGAATTGTCTGACAGAGGTTTTGTTTGCTGAAAATTTCACTGACATTAAATTTTCCACTCCCCTCCAACCTTCAGCAGCAGATGATCGTGCTCGACCTGAAGAGCGTCGGCGTAATGAACTGTATCGACAGTACTATGAAGAACTCCAGCGGCGCTACGACACGGACCGTCCTGTAGACTGCTCTGTGATTGTCGTCAACAAGGCGCAAAAGTATGTCCACTTTCTGACATTCAAAGGAAACCCAGATCTTGATCTTGAAACCTCTCTGTAAATGTTTGACCAGTACGTGGCATTTTCATTTCATACTGCTCCTTTGTGCGTCTTTGTGTGTGTGTGCGTCTGCCCGTGTGTACTTGTGCTTCAAAAACAACTGTAGGGAGTATGCGGAGACGGTCGGGCGGAAGGTTCGTGATTTGGGCATGGTGGTGGATCTGATCTTCCTCAACACAGAAGTGTCACTAACCCAGGCTCTGGAAGATGTAGGCCGAGCCCGCACTCCTTTCGCCATCATCATTACCCAGCAGCACCAGGTCCACCGGTCCTGCACTGTCAACATTTTGTTCGGCACACCGCAAGGTAACGCGATATGACAGTATGCACCTGTTGGTTGATTTATTTACTCCACGAGCAAAGAGATCAGCATTTCTAAGGTGTCTGTCTTTGATGTTTTACATACTGACATTATGTTCTGTTTTGCTGTAGAGCACCGAAACATGCCGATGCAGGACGCCATGATGCTGGTTGCCCACAATTATGACGCCTACAAAGTTGAAAACCGTGAAAAAGAACGTGAGGAGATTGCCAGAAAGGCTGCCAAGATGGCGGACGACGTGTTACTCAGGGAGGCTGACAGAGAGAGCCATCCTATTTCTGTGCTCACCGCCATCACACTCCTGTCTGAAAACAGGTATCTGCTTTAATATCTTGTGTTGTGTAACGTCTTGAATGAACAATGAAATTAAATTGGAGCTTTGAAGAACGTAGAATTTAATGCAATGTACAGTTTACATGTTGTAGGTCTACTTTTAGTTACTCATGCATTGTTTTAAGTCTCTACACTTGGAATAATGACTTTTTTTCTCTGTGTGGTTGCCGGGTAGATTTGTAACCCCAGAGGAACTGGATGGTCTCATTGCGTACCTGAAGGACAAAAGAGCCCGGCTGCTGCGGAACACTGCAGACCCTCTCGCAGGTAAGAGGAGAAAGAATAGGTTCACATTTGTTCACGTCTGTTGTTAAAACAATGCTAGCATAACATCAAAAAGAGAAACTGGGGCCTGTAATCCATCCTGTTCATACTGGCCCTGCTGTAGTTATTGTAAGGCTTTAGCACTCTGAGTCAGACAAATCAAGTATTTTCCAGTGTTCACCTTTTCAGTTTAAAATTCCCTCTTAGTCACTAGTCCTCTGATGCAGCTTAGCAGGGAAACGGTGTGTGTAAACTTGTGGAATTCTTCACTAAAAAGACAGAAGAAACATTAAATTCCTGTAACTCAGATATCTGAAGCCTTGTTAATTGTAGCTCAATTTCACAATACATTTATAAACAGAATGAAGACTGTAGATTTAGTCGTACATCACCACATTGGAATTGTTTAAAAGAAAAATCTCAGCCAGTATTGCAAGAAAGAAGCCTGGGAACCAGATGAATCTGCAAACTCGTTATATTTGCTCTGGACGTTACGTCTCATTCCCTTCCCGTCAGCCGATTTGCATTTCCTGGGGTAGCGAAGGCTCGACCTGCCCTACTGTACCTATGATTGGCTAGTACTCACTGCCTTTGTTGGTTGGGTTAGTTAGGTTCTAGCCAGAGGAGTGAGATTGGATAGGCAGAGTAAGGCAGGTCATGACTTTGCTATTGTAACACATATGGGCTAGGCGGTTGACTACGGCTACAATAGCGGCAACAGAAGTTTGTTCTTTAGAGGAGCCTGGATTGTGAATGAATAGATGAGACAGTAGTGCAGTTTGAGTGTCTGTATTCAGAGAATATTTAAAAAAAAAAACAACCAATACAAACAATACACCATTCCAATATTAAAAAAAAAAATGGATTACCCACAATAAATCAAATGTTCTGTTGTTCACAATAAAGTTCTCAAGGAAAAACGTTCAGTTCATATCCTTTTAATCCAAAAGGGTTTGTCCAGATCGGTAGGTGTGAGACTTTGTCCTACTGGTTCGTTGATCTAGCTCGCCATGTGAGTTGAGATGAATGGATCAAGGTCCATGAGAAGGAAATCCAAAGTTGGTAAAAAAAAAAAAACCTGACCTAAAAGGCCAAAAATACACATAAGTATTCCATTTGAAATAACCAAGTCAGTATCAAAAATAAAATCAATGTATGCATAAACATACATGCTAAATACAAATGCATTAATTAATTATTTAATTAATTAATTGTCTTTAATAAATCGAAGTTACAATAGTAACCAAACCACCTTAACCTAGTACCCCAGTACCATGTTAATATTCACAGTCAAAGTAAAAAATCAAAATTAAAGTCAAAATGCACCTTTTATAATTCATCAAAACATTCAATATTAAATTTCAAACTACTCAAGCAGAGTAAGACTCAAGTGTTTCAATAATTGCGCAATATTCATTCATTCATTAAATACGTAGCTACGTTCACATAAATGTGTCAATGATGACCAAACCTCATAGCCGTTGTAGCGTCAATCAGAAAAGTGACGTAACTGTTCAAAACAAGAATAACGCTCTAAACTATATGAGCGAGTAATTAAACTAAAATATTATCTACAATTTGGCTGTCTTATTTTAAACAAAAATCATTTTTTACCTTCGAACCGAGTGGTCAGAGCTGAGCTTCCATGCGCGGTCCGACAGGAAATCTGTTGAGTTTTCCAGATGGAGTATTGAACGGGTTGAGTTCAATAACTACTCTGGTGAAACAGCGCGTTAGAGAGCAATTACACGGACAGTTATATGGTTTTAACAATCTGAACTTGTCGGCAAAGGACTCACCAGTGGCTGACGGTTTCAAATGATCGATTCAGAGAGCTCCAGTCAAATGTTTGAGACGCTGACAGTAACATGCCCATTCACAGTGGAGACTGAGGAGGAAGTGAATTCCGTGACTCGTGATTCAAAGGAAGTTTGGGGTCACGGGAAGTGGGCCCGCAAAATAAATAAATAAATAAATAAAATGAATAACTAAATGCGGGTTACACTATCCTACGAAACACAAATTCGTCTGTCCTGTTCTATTCAAACAGATTTCCAGGAAATAAGAACTGTTTTTTCTAATATGGGGCATGTTTCAGATGATGACTGACGACTCAGAGCCTTTGCACTTAACGCAAAAGATGCATTGATGTCATTCATAGCTCACGCACCCTCGCACTCGTGACACACAAACCTAGCTTAGTAAAAAGGTACACCATTGAGGTATTTCCGTAAACAGCCAAAATGGCTGCGGCTGAACTGGAACTTCTGTTGAAGTACTTTTTTCAAATTCTTATGGCAAAATGGCACCACAGACATATTGATGCTGCACCATCACAGCTCATCTCTGTACCCTGCAGTCTATTCATATTCAGCCATCTCTCAGTGCTGTGTCACGTTTCATTGCTGTGAGCAGTTGTAGGTGTATCCAATTGCATCCAGAGGCATTTTGATCTACAGCTGTTGAAAGTAAAAATGAACTGAGAGGTTTCAGACAAACTTGCATTTGAGATTTGGTCTGGTCAAGTCAGGCCTGGGAGGAAGAACTATTACAGCAACCAAAATCTTTTTGGTGTACATTTCTGAGCATAGCTTTTTTTTTTTTTTTTTTTTCCAAAAAGTAAACTTACCCCTCAGTGATCTTGTAAAGTAGGATTGTAAAAGAAATACTGCTCCATTTTCTCTGTTGAAAAACAAGTTTGCATGTTAAACACTGTAGTTTCCAGAGCATCATTCTAACTGAATCCATCGCCCTACAGCTGCAGTTCATGTCTCAGCTCCTACAGCAGTGCACCATGAAGTTGCGCCCTCCGCTGCAGGACTTCCTCCTCCGTCCCATTCTTCACTCTCAGCCCCACAGAGCAGCCACCTCGGCCTCTCATCTGCTGCAAGCGGCGGCGCAAACCCCAGCCATCAGCAGGAGCTGCAGGCTAAAATCCTCAGCCTGTTCAACAGTGGCACCGGGGCGTCAGCAGGCGCTGCTGGCCCACCCTCTGCCTCCCAGACGCAGGGCTACGCCTCCCTTATGCCACCCAGCTCCCAAAACCCAACCCGCCCACCCTTACCTGCCTCAGCTGCAGCCCAGGGCTATGGTCCCCCGCCGGGCCGCATGCCAGGTGCACCAGGTGGTCAGAGACCCCCCAGCTCTGCTTCAGGTATCAATTTTGACAACCCGAGTGTACAGAAAGCTCTGGACACCCTCATTCAGAGCGGACCGTCTCTCAACCACCTGGTGGGCTCGGCACAATCTCAGCAGGCACCCCCCAGGCCTGCACCAAGCATGGGCCAGGTCCCACCTATGTCCATGTATCCCCGACATTACTAAAAGGTTGTAGTGAATTAATTTCTTCTCCTAATGTGAGGTCCACTCTCCCTGTGACACAAGTAGACACTCAGTTCTCTGTGCAGTGATTTACCAGCTGTGTATAGGTAGATTGTGTGGTTGGATGTTTTGTAAAAACTTTTAATCTTTTTATTTTATTTTTTATTCAGAGTGTCGTTCAGTTGATGAAATTGATTAAATTTACTTTGATGACTCGACCAGTCTACCTAATGGTCTGCATCTTCAATTGTTAGCCAGAAGATCAATATTCAGTCTTCTTACATGTTGAACTATGAGACAGTTGCATGTGTCAAATACAGTCTGTTTTGGTTTACAATGGACTCCTTGGTTTTTTTTTCCAACCATGAATTATTGTGTTTTATAGTGTTGCATAGTGTCTTTTTAATTTGTATCAACTGCATTGTCAAAACAACATGATTAAAAACTCCAGACACAATTGCTGTAATAAAATGGTATTGGTTTATTGCATTTTGTGCTGACAAATCTATAAAATGGAACGGGTATCGCCAGAAGCCATAGAGATATAAGCATTTGAAATGTAAGATAAAACTACTTTTTCCTCTTTTTTTAATGTACCATGAAACACAATAGAGAATAATACATGTTTGTTTTTTTAAATTTTAGAATATTTAACTTACACTGACACAAAAAAAACACCTCCACACTAACTGTATTTGATTTATTTACACGTAGCCCCCTCCCACCCCCGCCCCCAGCAGTTACAAGTGCACATGTACACACATACACACTCCCACAGAACTGAAAGGAACACACTACGGCTTTACCATAAGACTAGGTACAGTATCAAGGAAGAGTAATGAACGGTTCTGAATGAAAAGAAAAGAACATTTTCATATTATTGAAATTTGATACAGGTGTGTCTTTGTGTGTATGCTGTATATATCATTTATATCTACATCCACAACAGTTATCAAGCATCCATACAAAATGTTTCCCACAACTCCAGTGAATTAAAAACAGGCCATGATAAGACTCCTCTGGAGGGAGGTACTGGTTAGTAAATTAAATAGTGTTTCTCAAAGGCCATTAAAAATGTTTTGGGAAATTGGCGTATCGTTAAGATAATAAGAATATTGATATCACTTAGGGACTGTTTGTTACTTATGAGGGGGGAAGTATGTCAAATTTAAAAGCACTGGGGTGGGGTTTTATATCTGCTGAGAAGAGAGGCACACAAATTAAAATAGTTGTATTTATTTTACCCCAGATTTTTTCTTTAAAAATTGCCCAAATTTATCATTTATCACAGCCAGAAATAGTAAAACCAGAAATTATGACTGGATTTTCACATTTCTGACGGTCTTTGGACACATCATATGCGACAAAGGCTTATTTCAGAAAGCCAAAAAAAAAAAAATCATCAAAATCACTTACTCCAATCTCATTTAAAATCTGGCCAAAAAGAAACCGCTAATTACTAATGACTGCTATTCAACTTTTAACCTAAAACTTTCAGACATCAAAGGGTACGTTTTAAAAATCTAATAACTAATTTATGGTGGAGGGAAGGTCGTGTATCTACCTCCAGTCACTCAGGGAGGCTCAAGGAAAAACATTTGTAGCTTTGGGAAGGGTCAAAATAAAAATAAATAAATAAATAAAAAACAAAATCACACCTTAGTCACCCCCCTCATCTGATAAGTAATGAACAGTCCCTTATGTCAGCTGAATATGACGCTACAGCAGCTAGCTAATGTAGCTTAGCTTAGCCATAGCTTAGCACAAAGACTGAAAACAGAGGGAAACAGCTAAGATAGCTCTGTCCAAAGGTCACAAAATCCACTGCTAGCACCTCTAAAACCCAATTATTAAATTGTTACATTAAATCATACAAAAATTGGGGTGTTAAAATTATAATAGTCGTTTTATAAGGGGGTTTTGAACCTGACTATTTCTTGGTCAGGATCAGTTACTTCCTGGAGTCTGCTGTTAGCCTAGCAACAGCTACAAGCCAAGATAGCCTCAAGTTTTTGTACAGATTAAACCAAAAATGCTCTATAACCTTCTCTAATTAAACACACTTTATACAAGGTGTTAGGTACTGAACATTAGAGACACTTGTAGGTGGATTTTAAACCCTTAAACAGAGCCAGGCTAGCTTATTACCACGTTGCTAATCTCTGTGCTAATGCTAACTCAACAAGAAAGCAAATATGTTTTTTCCCAAAATGTCAAACTTTTTCCTTACAGGTTATCTGAAAGCTGATAAATAAGACCAGTTTTGAGAGCTGGCATTTTCAAGTACTTAATTCACTGAATAAAATCACATTTGTACGGTGAAAAGTTGGCAAATCAGGCTCGCTTTATGCAACATCCATCAAATTGAGGATTTGCAGGGATCTCCTCTAACACTTTGGCACTTTTATAGTTTTACCCTCCTGAAACAATATTTTTTTTTGTCATATAATTAACTGATAATTGTGAAACATTTTTGCAATAAAGTAAACACGTCGTCAGCGTCTAATTCACTGGAGCACACATTTGCACACCCTCATCTATGTAGGTAACTGAAATATACTTTGGTAATCAGTTTATCTGCAGGTAATATCTGACACAATGAGAGGACCTTGTCAACAAATCTACCATAAAAAATATAATCTTGTACTATAATAATAATAATAATAATAATAATCATATTCATCTCGGATACAATGATTGGCCAGTCCTAAGGAAAGAGAAAAAAAATCATACTACTAGAAATAAAGTTTCTAACTGATATAAACAAAATACTTTTATATCACAAACACCCAATATATTTTCAATACACCTTGTTCAGGGTAATTGCATGCATGCACTGAGTTACACAACATGACTGGGACCTGGCTCTGCGTGCACCGAGCGGACAGCAACTTGAGTTCTTCTCTTAAACTCCCAGAGAGATCGACTGTGAAATGTAAGTGCAGCTTTACCTCCAGCATCAGGCACATGTGTCTGACGCTTGTGTGAAAATAAACTGAAGGGTACAATCAGCTACAGACTGCGCCCTCTCTGCCATAATCTGGGATTTGTTTTGTATGTTCTCTGTTGGTGTCTTAACAGGACAGCCTCCTCAACCCGGTAACAGATGTGTTTCAGAGCCCTTAATATCCATTTAAGGATGGAGACTGAGTAATGATCACCGGCAAGTTTGTCTCATGCTACAGTTGTGCAGGCGAAGGATCTGATCTACGTCACGGATCAGCTGTGGGGAGAGGGGACGTGCTGGTTTTCTAAGTCGGCTATCCTTGTGTCGTCCAAGCAGAGCCAGTGCCAGAATTGGAAGCGCGAGTTTTATATTCTTTGATCATTTTTCAGAATTATACTGCAATCACATTTAAAATACAGAGCTGGGGTGGATTCAGTGGCTGGGATGGGGGAGGCTGGGGATGTGGGGTGGATTTGTGGGTAAGGAGAGGGGAGTTTGGGGGGGTGGAGGAGGGATTCTGGGAAGGCTCACCTCACAGATTGAGTGACAAGCACTATAAATTTTACATTTTTACTATTATTCTCTTTTTTTTCTTTAAAGAAGTTTGGCAAGAGAAAGGAAAGGATGTGATGCATGCTAAGATGTCAGAGTAAGATGCTGAAATGATAGGATGTAAACAAAATCAGCAGGTAGATCTCTGGATTAGTGCAGTTTAAAACTGCTGCAAGATGATGGGAACTAATTTAGAGTCTGAGCTGTCAGACCTCAACGGCTGGCTGTAATACACTCGTGTGCCACCAGAGATCACTGTGGGATAGAGTCTGTACAGAGTAGGCTGGCTCTTGTTCGACCCCCCCCTTGCTCCTGCAGATTGATCCTGTCACAGAGTACCCCCTCAGTGTAAAGTGCTTTGCTGTCTCAGCCACATTTGGGATGAACACTGTAGATCTTTATTGTCTGTAAGACCGGGTGACAAACATTCGGATGAAGTAAGTGACACCTCCAGTTGTTTATAGAAAAGAACAGAACTGTGACATAATGAAAATAAAATACCAATGTGAGAACAATATTGCACATAATCTTACAAAACTCTAAGACTTTGTCCACAGTGATAGAACAGTGTACAACAAAAGACAACACTAGTAGGTTACAGTGTCTCTGACTTTAGTGATAGTATATATACAAAGGTGAAATGACCGTTTCGAAGGCCCATCCATTCGCAAACTCAAAATCTCCTATTACGTTACATAAGACTATTTGAGCAAGATTGAAATATAACAAGTAACAATATAGTGAACTCATACTTTTTCTTATTTTTTGCAAAAGACTTGTTTTCAAGGTCTAGCTGTGTCTCCGACTGAGCGCCGAACGCTCCGGAGCGTCTCAAAATCTGTAACTCAGTGAGAACATTTGGCAACCTTTAACCCCGCTCTGCAACTTGAACATGTAAGTCATCACTATAGAAACCACTAAAACAAATATCGCCACGTAGTACCATGCAAACAGCAATTATAAAACATTTATAATTCAATAAATAAATTCATTTCCAATAAACTTCTCCGATATCTTTTCTTTTGAATAAATTTAAAAGGCTCAGTTGATGCAGGCAATGTTGTGGAGACAACCCCAAAAATAGCCGTGTTCTTCAAAAACTGATGTGAGCGTTCAACGACCCCCTTTTTGTCAGAGTTAAAGTGTGACAAGCATAGTAAAGAAAATCTCCGTGACTTGGCACCCTAAAATCTTTGAACACTCGGAGTGGCTGCTTCTTAAGTATCACAGGTGTCAAAGGTAGGTGTGTTAAAAATTCGCAAACAGTAACGTTTAGCAAATAAATATTTTTATATATTTAAAGATCTTTTTTTTTTTTTTTGGTGATTCCTGTAAGTTTCTTTAAATTAATAATCTCTTAAAATTGGTTCACTTTACTCATGGGATTAAAGATGGTGACAATCAAGAGAGCATTTTACTTTAAAAAGAGAATAAAAGGGTGGAGGGTTTGCCCTCAGTTGGAAATATTGCATCAAGGTATTCACTTTAATTTTCTACTAAAACAGAAAGCTAACCCTGTCCAGAGATCTCAGGCCAAATGTTTACAGGTACAGCCTCGTCTTGTTAAACAACCACCACCACTGATATGTATGTCTATACCCTTATTCATCTTTAATGTTGCTTTAGTCATCTCTATTTACAGTACAAATAAATCTATTGATACTAGCAGCATTCACAACATATGGTCCGACATTCAAGCAACACTAAAAACATTTAATACTGTTCGTAAATAGTTCTAGAAACTAATTTGTTTTGCTTCCCTATATTGTATATACTGTATATTTATATATATACGTATTTATTTATATCTCTACTACAAGTGCAAATGACCAAAAACA